TGGTCACGGGCATAGAAACAATCAATAAGTCTCTTTTTCCAAGATGGCGGATTTGTCTAAGTTAAACCAAATTTAAAGTGTAATGTATCGCTAAATTTTATCCGCTCCTTCGATTAAGGTTAATTTTAATTTAGGCTAAGCATGAATTCCTGTTGAGGATAATGTCCGCGCATACCAATTAGATTTATAATCTCTTACTTACTATTTGCAGGCCTTGGCATGCATGAATGTTGGCTCCAGCCTGTAGGCCTTTTAGTAAATTGCGTGACTATTAATAATATCTGCAAATAATCAAACACACAGATTTGTGCACTAAACTTTGAGTAAATTTTTAACACTGTTTTGCATTTTCTTTACATGAAATATGGCTGTCAAAGCAATGTTCGGTTTTGAATTTTACAGGGGAAAAGTAAAAACCGAAAATTTTGTATTATTTTTTTTCGAAAATGCAATTAACTTTTAATTTAGTTTCAGTATATATTAGTAACTTTCTGCCTAATTACCTTAAGAAGAAAAGAGAACTTTTGATCTTTACACTTTTAACGTTTTTCCTCTAATGAGGTAAAGAAGCGCCGAACAAACAAAAACGCACCTCACTTGGGCCGGACCTTCGTAAAAAATTATGCCCTTCTCGGATTTCTGACACATTTCCGGATGGTCAGCCGGGCGTCCGGATCACGGTTGCCAGCTGTCGGGTCCGACAGACGCTGCATGGCCGCGCCATTAGGATCTGGAATAAAGGATAGACCTCTATGTTTTAGGGTTAGTCGTCACGTGGATCTGGAATAAAGGATAGGCCCTACGTTTTAGGGTTAGTCGTCACGTGGATCTGGAATAAAGGACAGACCCTGCAAGTTGGGGGTGTTCGCCACTTGGACCTGGGGAGGTTAGACTCTGCACGTTGGTGCTAGGCGCCACTTCTTGCTGGTATAAAGGATAGACCCTACATTTTGGAGCTGGGCGCCACTTGGAACTTGAATGAAAAGACTCTACAATTTGGAGCTGGGCGCCACTTGGAACTTGTACGGAAAGTCCCTATATGTGCTAAGGGTTAGGTTAGGTCGTCATTGTGTCTCTGGAATGAAGGACTGACCCAAAACTTTAAGGTTGTCCGCCACTTGGATCTGAAATGAAGGATCGACCGAATACGATGTGGCTGGTTACGTAGCCTGGATCAAAAGCCACGAATAGTTCCAGCTTCCAGCCTGGCAATGGATGACTTGGTATATTATAGGTTGAGTGATCGTCTGCCCAGTTATTGGATTCGGACCAACGACTTACCTCTGGAAAAAATAATCAAGTATCATTATTATTAGTTGACAGGGAAGGGCTGGGAAGTGCTTCTGGGTTAGTAGGCTGGGAAGTGCTTCTAACTCCACGAATCTTCCATCCAGTTATGAAAATCAATTCTTATAATAGTAGACTCTAGTGTTGATTTCTAACGAAGCAACTCGCGTTCCCCCTCCCACTCGGATTTCTGACACATTTCCGGATGGTCAGCCGGGCGTCCGGATCACGGTTGCCAGCTGTCGGGTCCGACAGACGCTGCATGGCCGCGCCATTTGGATCTGGAATAAAGGATAGGCCCTATGTTTTAGGGTTAGTCGTCACGTGGATCTGGAATCAACGACAGACCCTGCAAGTTGGGGTTGTTCGCCACCTGGACCTGGGGAGGTTAGACTCTACGCGTTGGGGTTGGGCGTCACTTGGCGCTGGAATAAAGGATAGACCCTACACGTTGGAGCTGGGCGCCACTTGGAACTTGAATGAAAAGTCCCAATATGTTAGGGTTAGGTTAGGTTAGGTCGTCATCGTGCATCTGGGATGGAGAACAGATCTCAAACTTTTAGGTTGGCCGCCACTTGGATCTGAAATGAAGGATCGATCGAATACAATGTGGCTGGTCGCGTAGCCTGGATCAGAAGCCACGAATAGTTCCAGCTTTCAGCCTGGCAATGGATGACTTGGTTAAGGATCGTCTGCCCAGTTATTGGATTCGGGCCAACGACTTGCCTCTGGAAAAAATAATCAAGTATCATTATTATTAGTTGACAGAAATCAGGCTGGGAAGTGCTTCTGACTCCAAGAATCTTCCATCCAGTTATGAAAAACCAATTCTTATAATTGTAGACTCTAGTGTGATTTCTAACGAAGCAACTCGCGTTCCCCCTCCCCTGACCTCGCTTCCTCACGCACGACGACAGTTGGTAGACAGGCGCAGGCATACAAGCTGCTTGGCGGGCAAGCAGATTATTTTACCGCACATCCTCACACGGAAAAAATCTCTTACGACATTTCAGTTTTAATACGAATAAAATACGAGAAGATTGCTACATAAGATGACACTATAATTTTATGAAGAATTTTAATAAGATGGTAGTAACGAAAATGCAAAGGTTGTAAGAATTAGATTTTTCAACGTAAATGCCATTACTATGTGTCAATTTATCACTTTTTTCAAGCTGGCTCGTATACTGCATGTAAATGTAATAGAAGATCAGATGATTCAAATTAGCGTTACTCATCATTTATCGCTTCTATTGGTTGAACTTTAAACATGTCCCCATGCATGAAACACTTTTAGAGCAATGCACAATGAGAGCATTGTACATTGCTCTTTATTTAGAGCAATGTACTGTTCAACGTTGAATATTTAATATGATAACGAATCAAAAATCATCGAAGACCATCGGTGATCGAAGAGTTTCTGTATGATATTTTCTCGGTCAATGTTGACATTGCTCTCACGTCCATTTTAATGGTCAACTTCCTCTCAAAGCCCCAGCTGAAAATTCAGCCCAAGTCCTCTGGAAATGTTTGATGTTGGGAGGCCACTCTTGTTTGGTCTGCCCCACTGCAAATGTTTGGCTGTCAAGCACGGCTGCTTGAGTCCTTCTCAAACACACAGAAAGTCAATTATTTCAAGTTGATTTCATTTTCCCGTCGTGTATTAAATAAAAATTTCAAAACTTTGTAACGTCTTGGAGGCAAAAATTGTGTATTTCCGTTAATGTATTTTACTACGAAGGCATGAGCTAGAACAGTAGATCCATACTATTCTCGTACTAGTATATAGTATTAGATATGATCAATGACAGATCAGATGAATGAACACTCGTCACGCAATGTTTTTTACTCATCTTTAGTACTCGCTCATTTCTTTTGAAAAAATAAATTTATTTTTTTGTTGTTGTTTATTGGACTCTTCATGTATTATAAATAAATGTGAAGGGCATGCAGCAAGTTTGCTGTGCGTAAAGTGCAACGTTTGAGTTGTTGACATTTGTCCACAACTTAAGTTGTTTCTGTGTTAAGTGGGCGATAGTTGTCCTCAACTCAAGTTGTTTTTGTGTTAATTTGTATAATAAATAATATTTGTATAATTGAAAAATAATTAAAGTGTTGCATTTTTCTCAAGCGTGTAAGTGTTCATTGTTCTCAAGATCAATTTGGCCTGATTGAATATATGGTATTTTATTGGCAATTTACATTTACTAATAATTCACAAAAATAACTAATTATTTCAGAAAAATATAACAAGTGTCATGGACAAGAAAGAAAAATATATCATGCAACATAAAGCTTCTTGATGAGTGTGTGTTGAAAGTGGTGGGTTGAGTGGTCTACGCTGCGAGTGGGCTGGAGGGTTGAGTGGTCTAGCTACGCTGCGAGTGGGCTGGGGGGTTGAGTGGTCTACACGCCGAGTGGGCTGGAGGGTAGAGTGGTCTACGCGCCGAGTGGGCTGGAGGGTTGAGTGGTCTATGCGGCGAGTGGGCTGGAGGGTTGAGTGGTCTGCGCTGGAAGTGGGCTGGAGGGTTGAGTGGTCTACGCTCCGAGTGGGCTGGAGGGTTGAGTGGTCTGCGCCTGTCTCTTATACACATCTAGATGTGTATAAGAGACAGGTCTACGCTCCGAGTGGGCTGGAGGGTTGAGTGGTCTACGCGCCGAGTGGGTTGGAGGGTTGAGTGGTCTACGCTCCGAGTGGGTTGGAGGGTTGAGTGGTCTACGCTCCGAGTGGCCTGGAGGGTTAAGTGGTCTACGTGCCCAGTGGGCTGGAGGGTTGAGTGGTCTATGCGGCGAGTGGGCTGGAGGGTTGAATGGTCTATGCGGCGAGTGGGCTGGAGGGGTGAGTGCTCTACGTTCAGAGTGGGCTGGTGGGTTGAGTGGTCTACGCTGCGAGTGGGCTGGAGGGTTGAGTGGTCTACGCTCCGAGTGGGCTGGAGGGTTGAGTGGTCTACGCGCCGAGTGGGCTGGAGGGTTGAGTGGTCTATGCGGCGAGTGGGCTGGAGGGTTGAGTGGTCTGCGCTGGAAGTGGGCTGGAGGGTTGAGTGGTCTACGCTCCGAGTGGGCTGGAGGGTTGAGTGGTCTACGTTCGGTGTGGGCTGGAGGGTTGAGTGGTCTGCGCTGGAAGTGGGCTGGAAATTTAATAAATAGGGACTAGAACTGTGCTGTCAGAAGTACATTTCAAACTGATCGCTGTCAATGATTTGTAGGAATGCTTAATTTTTTATTCCAGTATCAAGTCATTTGAAAAAATAAATTTTTCTCCTATTTTCTGGATCAAATTGGAAATTATTGTAATTTTCGATCACTGAAAGATGTAGGGAAAAATCCCCGCATGGTTAAATTAAAACAAAACATGATTAATTCTGACCGCCAAAGTTTGCTTTTCATTCAAAAAGTTTTCGTAAAGATCCAGGTGTGGTGCAGACGGCAGACATCTGTTGCATTTGCGCCGGCGCGTAGTAGCTTGAGTAGCCTTAATTTCTACTACGACTCCACACCGTGGCCGTGCGACTATAAGAGGTGCCAAGTAGGCTTTATTCATAATTATTCTGTTTTAAATATTGAGAATCCTGTTTGTGTGGCTGATTGACAAATTCACACAACTTTTTCCTAATAATAAATGCAACGATGTTATCCTAGGTGTGTTTGTGATGTGTAAATATTTAGACAAAAGACGTCTTGGCAACTGAGATTCAGCTCAGAAACGAGTCTTCGCTCTTGAAAAACCCAGTCAGTTGGAAGCGAGTGACCGTTGGTAGAGGTTGTGTGTGTCATTGCTCTGCCATTGCCGTGTGACTCGTGTTCTGGGTTACTGGGGAACAAACACGTGGATATAAAAACGACCCTGTAGTGGATTGTGCGTGTTCTTCTTACGCCTTAACTGTGGATATTTTTGAGTGAATTTGAAGTGAAAGCACATTTTTAGCTGCCCAATGGTGGGATAAAACATTGTCATCTTCCGTCATGAGTTGGATATTTTCTTCACTTCTACTTCTAGGTGAGTATATTCCTTTAAAGGCCAAGATTAGTGTGAGTAATGATTAAATAATGTATGTTCATTAATTAAGCTTTTTTTAGTCAGTTGAATTAACATCATTTCAACATGCAATGATCGCAATATCCTTGATTTACTCATAAATTGATACCCCAACCACATTCGTAGTCGGGGTAGGCCTATCAAGCCCAAACCGAACAAAACCCTAGGTTTTGCCGTTTTGGAATTTAGAATATAAGAGTGTCCTTATTTTCAGTTGCATCAAAATAAACACACTCGTTTTAATGCACAACCCAGCTGGAGTTTGGTTTAGACGACAACTTCTTATCATTGCGTAGTGCGCACTCCTACAGGCCTAGACTTTATAATTATCTAATTTACTCGTTTTTATTTCACGAAATAAGACGGCTGGACTAGGCTATGAGCCTATATGACGAGCCTTGGAATAGCAAGCCCACCGTGGTGCGAGGTGGAATTAATCGTTGAGGACGATCGAGGCTTAGATTCACTAGAGAATCTTTTTTGATTCACTTAATCTTCCAGGACGAGGCTTACGCCCCCTTACCACTTAGCGCGAAGTTTCGGACTCGGTAATCTCAGACTTACGACCTCCATTAGCGTAACCCGACCGAGTTCGATTTAACCGCTGTTGCGATGCCCCCATTTCTACTTGAAGGCAAGAATAAACTTGATTTGATGCATCAAAAATTTGACGGTATTATTATATTTGCCATGTCAATTTTTTAATTTTGAGATGTTACCATTTCCTGATATTTGCTAATCCTGTCATGTGATTTCATCCTGGTTGTAAAGTTTGTTCACGAGACTTTGAGATTTATTTAAGAGCTCGGCTGGACTACGAAAAAATCAGGCTAATTTACAATGATTTTAATTTATTTCATCACCAGGCTTTATCGCGCGGACGAAGTCAATTTTTCGAAGGAGAAATGTCTACGGTATTTTTAATTTCGAAATTATGAATTGACTTCGTCGGTAGCTGAACGTTGTTCTTAAGTGATAAAATGTTCGCCTAGTTTTTTTAATTTTTCGACGCAGAAATGTCTACGGTATTTTCAATTTAGAAATTATGAATTGACTCCGCTTTAGATGACCGTTGTTATTTAGTGATAAAATGTTCGCCTAGTAACCGGCTCCCAAGTTCGCTTGGTACACTCGCCCCTAGACGCGATACGCTCCGGTGTAGCGGTGCATCCTGCGTTTAGTTGTGACAAGTAGGAACATCAGGGAATAATTATCTTAAATTAACACCTAACATTTTTTACTTTATTTCTAGACCTAACAACTTAATAATAGGTACTCCTTTGGACTTGAGTAGGATGTTGCTGAACATGAATTTATCTGAATAAGTGCGAGTTCCGTGCGCAAACGGAACTATATACATCTAAATGTTACTAAATATCACTAANTAGGATGTTGCTGAACATGAATTTATCTGAATAAGTGCGAGTTCCGTGCGCAAACGGAACTATATACATCTAAATGTTACTAAATATCACTAAATGCTACATCATCTCTTATTTCTGGTGGTAAAGAACTAAATGTACCCGGGCGAAGTGTTTGGTGCCAGTGTACCGATTGCGGTTAGGAGACGTAGCCCTGAAATGGGCCGAACTTAGGGCTAAATGGTTCCAAATCAAAACTAGGCTTGTCGTGTTACTCGTCGATATACGGGCGGACGCGTCAAGTACGGTTCTGTATTACAATCAATTGTTTACCAGTTCTTTAATGTATATTAGTAAATTTCATGCTAGCTTTGCAATGAAGATCCAAAATTTCATTCCGGTTCTCTGGCCTAGATGAAAGAATTTCATACCATTTCTCTTGGATTTATCAAATAATTTGTAGTCTAAATCACTAAAACTGTTCCCAGAAACTAAAGTTCTGCGGGAAGTGAGGAAACGCTTCGATATCAGCGGAAATCGCTGTCCCCTTCGCAGGCGCCAAGGAAACGCCACGCGGGGTATAAATAATATACCATGGGACCATGATTATAGGACGAGTGTACTTGAAAGTAGTTATGGTATTTTGGGGTTGATCCATTAAAATTGAATTAAATAATTTAAAAGCATTTTTATAATTTAAATATCTTTGAATAATGTAAGTGGCTTGGAATAATTTGAATGGTGTTGATCAATTAGAATAGTTTTAACCCCGAAAAAAAACTCGTGCCTGCGCCAATTAGTAAATCCTTGCAATAATAGTTCGATCCGCTATCATTCATCCCTGTTAGGTAAAGCATGAATTTAATGGATGTGTATATCTTGATTGCAACATTCATTAGTGTCGATTGATAGACTTCGTTCTGGTTAAATTTATTAGCAGATTATTTTGCGGTATGGTGATAATTCCTAATTGATTTGCTTGTGCTAAAAATGTCAACTTCTACCTAATATTAAAGTCGTCTATAGCATTCCTTGTGCGGTTTCGTAAGAGCTCCGCCATTCAATCATACATGTTGTAACCTAAGATAATGTAACCGAACCATTTACGACCATTCAAGTTATTTGTGAGTATCCAGCCAAAGGCAGTCTCGGGTCGGCTGGACTTCAGGTTTTGCTCTGCTTCAGTGAACACACACGCTTCTTGTCCTTCACGACACCTAATCTGCACCTGCGCGCTCGTTTTCATTTATAAATTTACTTTCTTCTCAGGGGCCGTACTATAGAGAATAGTTACTAGTTCGTAACTCTGGCAGACAATCAGTGACGGCCCAGATTCGCGTGTATTTCGTGCCGGAAAAAGAGTGATGTTTGCAAAAGAATTTAGTTAATAGCATTCAAGTATTTTGGATTAGTCTCTACATGATGAGTGAGAGTTCAAAGAAGTGAAGCCTGATGCTGATATTTTCCTACCAGCAGCAGAGTTTCGTTTATCCTGCCTTAGTTGAGTGTTGCTATGTTGTGTGTAGCCTGACTTAGTTGTGTGTAGCGCATATGCTATGTGCTGCGCACATAGCAATATGCACTGTTGTGCCTTGGCTTCGGCGAGCTAATGTGCTGCTGACGTTGCAAACTTTGCAGTGTCGGCGTTCTGGCTTGCTTTGCAATTTACAATCTCAGTTCTTTTTTCGATTAACGTTTTCTTTGAAGGCTATATTATTTAATAAATTATAATTTAATTGTAAAAGAGTAGTTTACTGTTGAATTTTATTTTATTCTTAACTTGATATTTAGTAATGTTCTGTTGTTCGTATTTAATTGTATTCAATGTGAACTTTTCCCATAGCTCACTTTTGAGTAATTTTGTATTCTGCGAGTGTTTCAAATTTTCTTGGATTTTGATCATAATTTTAGCTTTAGTCTACCTTGAGCCTGCGAATCTCTCGTTCGTGGCTTACGAATCTATCATTTTCGTGAGTACAATGACAAACGAAGTCAACGAATTCCCACCATGCGTCGCAGCTCTCATGCGGGTGCCCTGCTTTCCTATTGTACTTTGACTGACAACTTCTGTGCCGATATTTTTTCCCTGATGTAGTCGACTCGAGTCTACTCATACTTTTGATTCTTACTTCATTGTTCTGACAGCCAAAGTGTACTTTGACTGACAACTTCTGTGCCGATATTTTTTCCCTGATGTAGTCGACTCGAGTCTACTCGTACCTTTGATTCGTTCTTCATTGTTCTGACAGCCAAAGTGACGTACGGTACCGCTGCTGGTTCATCCGTCCGTATTTCAACTTGAATTATGGATAAGTGAAGTTGACGTCTGAGATCTACAATGCTAATCCAAGGGTCGGAATGTAACTGGAATCTGTTGTTTATGTACCCTGTATATTTATTTATTTTAATATAGGGAAGTTACTGATTAAAATCAGTAATCCCATTTCTCTCATTTAAGTATTTTACTCCCAAGCTTCTCCATTTATCAGTATAATTTCGGAATAATTATTCAACGTTTTCTTAGTGGGCCTCAGAGAAGTGGATTATCTCGTCAGGTGAAATAAATTTCTTCTTATTTTTAACGAATTGCTTCTTCAGTAACAACCATATCTCCCTTCTTATATTTCTGTGTATTCTTTTGAATATCCCTAACAGGTTAATCAGGGTGAAAGTGCATGCGGTTTTTTAAAGAAATATTTTGTTAAGTTTCGAAGATGTAGGCAGCTGCTTGCCCGTTCTGTTGTTTCGCAGCTAACTGATAAGCTTAAGTACGGGCAGATGTTTAGTACTAACGGCTACCTTTGTTTAGCTTTGTTGAACGAAAATAACTGTATTACGGGAATAAACTGTTAACGTTTTTAGGAAAGCTTCATTTATCTTAAAGCGCTGTGACAGTCGATCTCCGTTGTCAGCTTACTCAGAAATACGCTTTCATATCAATTTTTTCACGATAACTGCAATAATTAATATCAAAAATAAAGTACTTAGAAGAAACCCTTGATCTCAATGACACCGTTGTTACTGTAATAAATAATTTTCGTCAACCAGATTGACAGCCGACCAAGATCTTCAGAGACGAATATCCACTTCAATATTCCAGAGTTGTTCTTCCAGTTGGGAACATATCCTGCGTTTCTTCTGATATCTTTTGCTTGTCGAAGGCTGACATTTCACCGTCTAGGTCCTGCGCGGCTGCTGTTCACTATTGGCTGCTCAGGAACAGCTTTCTCTTTTGGGGCCGCAGAAGGTAAGCTCCTCCAACCTTTCTCTTCGCCAGGAGCTTCTCTCCCCCCTTCCTCCTCATCCCTCCCACCCCTCTTCAGTAGCTCAGTCCCCCAGCTCCCACCTGCTTGTCTAAAATCCACTCCCTCATCCTCCGTCTACCCGTCTTCTGACGTCCAGCAGTGCCCCAGCTACCGTCTACTAGTTAGACGTTCGCTGTCTCGGCTGTATAACTCGAAGATGTATTTTGCACATAGTTAACCACAACTTATGCTTCAATAAAAAAGGTAGTCCTTTTATGGTTTTTCATTTTGTTCATCGACATCCGACGATTCTTCAACATTGTCGTTGCGCATGTTAGCTAGCGAGTCTCGGCTG